AGTTAGTTCACAGGAAATAGGAGAACAATTAGTTCGTTGGCTTTTCAGTTCATGTGGTATTAATTATACAGTATCAGAGACATTTTACAAAATGGTTCCAAAGTGCATGCAGGAATGTTCTAAGCAAATCTATTTTTCAGTTATACATTTTTACATATACACAAAAGCGCTGTTATTTAAGAGATGCCACTGCTATTTACCTGCTCTGCAGTGATAGGTTCTACTGGCAGGTTCTGGGCAGATTTGCTGCGAGGTGGAGCCTGAGGTGCTAGATGATCTAAGCCAAGAGAAGGGGGTGGAGTCTGAGAAATAGGTTTCAAACCAACAGGTTTAAGAGGCTCCTGTAGCTTCTGTGAACCTAATGGGGGAGGTTGCAGTGGAAGCGGAGTAGCGATTTTTGGCTTGAGTGGTTCTGGCAAGAGCAATGGTCCTGAAAGACAGACAGAAAGTAGTTAGGTAACATTCATTCAAAACTTCAAAAAGAGCTTGAATTTCCTGCGTACTTCCAACTTTGCAAATGAAGAAGTTTCTTAATTTTAATGTTTTTAATGCATCCTTGCGCCACTTAATTGTGGGGGATGACCTGCTTCAGTCTCACAGTGGTAAGAAAACCGTCCCTGATTAACAGGACAGCAGAAGGGGCGGACAGAATTCCCAGCTGCCAGTGGTGAAATGTCAATTGGACTCAATGAGTCAACTGGTTTCCACTATCTGTAGGATATTTTGCTGGTGACAAGCTGTTCCATTTATGTTATTAGCTGATAGAATTAAAGAGAGTCACAAGATACAAGTAACCTCTCAGAATATTCAATAGAAAGTATTTAGGAAACGATAAATTGGTATTTATTCTTCATGGCGTTCTTGCTTTAATTACTGTAATCACCAAACACTAAGATCAGACTGCCATTTACAACTAATGCAAATTTTAGTCAGAATTTTTACAATTTTAATCTTGCACTTTACATTCAACAACATTTGTGGTTATTGGTTGAAGGATACAAGAAGGTACAAGAATGCAATCAAGGGCTACAGACATGATTTCATTTAAATGATTATCTTGTCAATCCACAGGTATGGTGCTTTGTTATTATGAGGCGTCTATCAGGGAATTTATTATTAAATGGAGGCAGCGATAAGCTCATGGTATTTTGTTTTAATTCACTCATAGGATATTGACATCACTGGCTGGGCCAGAATTTATTGAGAAGCTGTCTTTTTGAACCACTGCAATCCGTGTGTGATATGGCAGATCCACAATGTTATTCACGAGGAAGTTCCAGAATTCTGACCTAGTGACATATTGTTGTCCCTTCAATGTTGTTCCATTTCAGACAGTGAGTGGCTTGGAGGGGAACTTGCAGATAGCAATGTTCTCACATATCTGCTGCCCTTGTACTTCTAGTTGGTAGTGGTCATGGGTTTGGAAGATGCTGTCTAAGGATCTTTGGTGAATTTCTGCAGTGTATTTCGTAGACAGTACACACCATTACTACTGAGCATTGGAGGAGTGACTGAACTTTTGTTGATATTGTGTCAAGCTTCTTGAATGTTGTTGGAGCAACACTCATCCAGTCAAGTGGGCATTATTCCATCATATTCCTGACTTGTGACTTGTAGATGGCTTTGAAGAGTCCGGAGATGAATTACTCACTGCAGTGTTCCTAGCCTCTTAACTGCTCTTGTAGCCACTCTAATTTAGATGGCTAGTCCATTTGAGTTTCTGGTCAGTGGTAACCCCCAGCATGATAGTATGGGATTCAGTGATGGTAACATCATTGAATGTCAAAGGCGGTGGTTCGATTGCCTTTTTTTTTGGAGGAGATGGTCTGACATTGTGTAGCACAAATGTTATTTGTCACTTTTCAGCCCAAGCTTGGATCTTGTCCATGACTTTTTGCATTTATACATGGACTGCTTCTGAGGAGCTGTGAATAATGTTGAACATTCTGCAATCATCAGTGAACGTCCTCAACAACTGCAGAGTTTTCCTCAATTCCCACTGACTCCAGTTTTGCTAGGGCTCCCTAATGCCACAAATGTGGCTTTGAATGACAAGGGCAGTTACTCTCACCTCATCTCTAGAATTTAGCTCTTTGGTCCATGATTGAACCAAGGCTGTAATGAGGTCAGGCACTGAATGGCCCTGGCAGAATCCAAACTGGGTATCACTGAGCAGGTTATTGCTGACCATGTGCTGCTTGAAACACTTTAATGACACCTTCTATGATTTTACTGATGATTGAGAATAGACTGATGGGGTAGTAATTGGCTGGGTTAGATTTGCCCTGCTTGATGTGTACAGGACTTAATGAACAATTGTCTGCATTGTTGGATAGGTGCCAACGTTGCAGCTGTACAGGGACAGCTTGGTTAGAAGTATGCAAATTCTGAAGCCACGTCTTCAGTACTACTGCTGGAACATTGTCAGGGCACTAGCCTTTGCAGTATCCTGTGCCTCCAACCATTTTTTGATATTACATGGAGTGAATCAAATTGGCTGAAGATTGACATCTGTGATATTGTGAAACACTAGGAGGAGACAGAGAGATCATTCACTCAGTACATCTGGCTGAAGATTGTGTGAATGCTTAGGCCTTATTTTCTGCACAAATGTGCTGGGCTCTCTCATAATGAGAATAGAGGGTGTTAATAGCCCAGCAATTATACCACTAGGCCATCGTCTCCTTCCATTGCTGAACTACTAATCCAGAGACCCAGGTAATACTTTGGGGTAACACGGTGTGGATCTGGAGGAATACAGCAGGCCAGGCAACATCAGAGGTGCAGGAAAGTTGACGTTTCAGTGCAGATGGTGGAATTTTAATTCAATAAATACCTAGAATTAAGTGTGAAATGATGACTATGGAATGATTGACAGTGGTCGGAAATGCCAATCTGGTTCACTAATGTCCTTTAGGAAAGCAAACTGACTTCCTTACCTGGTCTGGCCTACATGTAATTCCAGGCTCTCAGCAAATGTTGACCGCTCTCAGCAAATGTTGACCGCTCTCAACTGTCTTCTGGGCAATAAATGCTGGCTTGGCCAGCAACACCCACATCCAGTGAAATGTATTAAAACTCTAGAACTCTTTACAACGATAAATACTTTCTTCGGTCAAGGTGAAGTAGTTAGTATTCAGGAAGGGGGATAAAGTTGACTGAGTTGCCAAAATGCCAAGTACAAGCATAATGGAATTGTGCATGAATCATAGAAGGTTAGTATGTTGGAAAATCGGGTAATCATGCAAAAGCTACTAGAATGTTATAATTTATTGCAGGGGAAATCAAATGCAAAAGTATGGAAGTCATACAGGACATTAGTGAGACTTCAAGTGGAGTACTGTGTACAGTACTGGTCACTGTACCTAAGGAAGTATGTTAAGGGCAATAAATGTTAGCCAGCCAGTGACATCCATGTCCCAATGTGTCAGAAGAAGTTCAAACAAGTTTCATTGGACAGATTCCTGGAATTAGTTGGTTGCCTTATGAGAAAAGGCTAGACAGGCTAGGCCTGCATCCTCTGTAGCTTAGAAAAGTCAGGTGACAATTGAAAAATAAGATCCTGATGGGACTTGAACGGGTCAATGTCGAAAGCATGTTTCCTCTTGCTGGAGGATCTTGAATTAAGATTCATAGTTCAAAAATAAGGGAACACGCATTTAAAAAGAGATGAGGACACTTTTGTTCTCTCAGAGGGCTCAGTCTTTAGAATTTCCTTCCTCAAAAGGCACTAGATGCAGAATCTTTAAACATTTTTAAGGCAGGGGTAGATAGATTCATGGTTACCAATGGGGTGAAAGATTATGGGATATGTAGGAATGTAGAGTTGAGTTTAAAATTAGATCAACCATGATCTTATTGAATGGTGGAGCAGGCCAAAGAACCTAGTGGCCTTCTCTTGCTCCTTGATCACATGTTTGTAACAGGTACTCAATAACAACAAACAACCATTATGTCCAGTAACAAAGCAGCACAGACAAGAAAGCATAAAAAAGTTTGTGCTCAGTTCCTGTGCTATTGATTGATTTTTCTCCAACTGCTTGGTTGGGCTGCAACAGACTTGACAAATACCCGACATTATGTCTGAATGTCAACCGAGCTTCAAACTTCACGTCTTGCCCATTTAGTAATACACTGCCCACCTCTTCTCCTTCCTTAATTCCTCTGTCCCTGGAATCTTCTCATTACCTCAAACCTCAATTTTTAAACTACCCTTCTCAATAGTAATCAATTTTCAACAAACTCCAATTGGTCCAACATTTTGCCTGCATGCTGTATTATATTCGTTATGCTTAATTATCACTCATTCTAACCCACTCTTTACAACCTCCTCAGCCTCAATTCCTCCCAAATCCTTTAGTTATTGGACTATGGCCATTTGTTTATTTTCTCCTCTCTCTGCTTTCAACACTGGCTGTGTCTTTGGCCATATCTTTTGGATATCATTAAATTCCTGCAGTCTTCTATTTCCATCTTGAAAGCCTTTGCCAAATTGATCTTTTTGAGCATAATTTTGGTCATCCCACCTGATTCTGGACATCAAACTATAATTGTTCTGTGCCTCTCTCCCTCCACCTCACAATCTGCCACCTCAATAAAGTGTCTTGAGCAATTTTCTAAGTTAAAGGCACTGTATGAATGTAGATTGTTATTGTTACATAACTTTAAAGTAGCAGTGATGAAACAACTGGAAATACAGCCATTATGAATACTCTGGAAACTGTTTTCCTTTAAGACAATCAATAATACTAACCTGTTAACAGTTCTGGAGTTTTGCTTTGAGGTTCCGACTGCGGTGCTCCTATGGGTAGCTTGATCGGTACATTTGCTGGTGCACTAATAACCCCAGCACGTGGTGGTATGCTCTAATGAAAGACAACTGATACTTAACTAAGAGCTTTAAATTATTTGAACCATGTTACAATTACAAAAATATCAATTAATTTCTCCCCTCTGGTTAAGATGAATGCACAACAGTATGTGTATATTTGTTTTCGCAGCAAAAAACTCTAACAAACATACCGGTCTAGATGCAACACCGGTTCCAGTACTAGCTGAATTCATGGTTGCTTGTGGAGGTGGCTGGACACGGCCTGTAGAGAAAAAGTAAGTATTGGGTGGTATCAAATCGCTTTTGTCAGTTTAGAACTAATGGCACCTTTGAAATTTGCCAATCTGATCAGGTTTTGCTAGATATGATGCTAAATTTTAAGTGTAATGAAGTTTATCCAATGTATTAAATTATTGAGCTTCGGTCCACTGTTTTTGAATCTTAGTTTTCTCAATATTGTAGTCAAACAAGAACACTGCTTCCTGCAATCTTAGTCAACTGCCATGTGGTCAGCGATTCACAGCTCATGCTCTCAGCCATAGCATTATCTAGTGGATTTACTAAGAACTGACTAAAAAGCTGCAGGAGAGAGAAATGGAGTCCTAGCAAGAGACTGAGAGTCAATGAGAACAAAAGGGAAAGCACAGGAAGCACAAAGAAAGAGAGAGACTAAAAGTAGATTCATGCATCTATGACACTTTGGCCTATCACAATCTTTGACTATTACATTTCAAACGATGTTTCAAAAATTATGTGAATATATAATTTCTGTACCTGCAGTAATATGTTCTACTTTCATGAACAGACTGCAAAGATTCCATTCAAATGAGGGTGAAACTTCACTAACACAAATTACAAAGTCCCACATACAAATGAAGTCAATATCAAGCTTTATGCATGCAAGAATTAATTATTTCTAATAGATACTTCTAACAAACTTAAATAATTCCTTCATTGAGTTCTAACACATTAAAACTTATGTTGTATCACGAACAAAGTTACCTTCCATTTCCTTTCTAGCTAACCCTGGACTGACAGGTGCCCCTGGACCTTATGGGGAGAGAAAAAAAGGAAAATATGTCTACATAGAAACCATTACAACAGACATACCAAGGGCAGAAAACAGAAAAGTAAATCAAGTCGAAACACAGGTGAACAATCAAATCACACAGCATCAAGATTACTTATTTACTTTTTGTATTGCTGAAAAAAGATATTTGAAGCTATTTTGCAAGGATATAAATTCAAGGAGAAGACCGACATCTTACCCTAAAGGTATCTCAAAAGATTCAGCAACAGATGAAGCCGTTTCAGGCTGCTATGTGGCAGCAACATGCGGCACCTGGGGTGCACTGACAGCATTCCCACCTCTGATCGAGGGGGCCTGGCTTCAAGACACACCTGCTCCAGAGGGTGCGTAGTAACATCTCTGAATATGTTGATTACAAAATACCTGCAGCAGCAACACGAGTGGTGTTCACTAGTAACAGGATAGTATTGTCAAGCCAAAAAGATGCGCTGCCTATTGCAAAAAGGTAATGTGATGTATGAAGTTCAGGGCTGGTGTGACGCCACATATGTAGGCCAGATATGCCAATGACAAGTGGATCACATCAAACAGCATGTTCCACAACAAGCAATGTACTGACCTTACCCAACTAGCCTACATTTGCAAAACTTGCAACAGTGTTTATCAATAGACATGATTCTGCAATTGGAGAATATTTGCTGGATGACTCAGAAAATTACACTGACAACCAACTTAGGATCATAAGTCGTGCTTGGTTGACACACTTGCATGTACAGGGAAGTCTTAGATAGTAATACACAGGTCCGTTTTAATTTGCAGGCCAAAAGATGAACATACACTATGTCTGTTTCAACTCAAGAAAATAGGTGATAGCCATCCGCTAGTTCATTTCTCAAGGCAAATGCACTGATCAGAGTCTGGTTGTTAACTATCAATCAGTAATAATGGGTTAGTTCTCCATGTCAACACCTCTACCAATTACCTCTCATCTCATGCAATGTACTGTTGGTTTACCCTTGAATTTAAATCCTTGCAAATTCCCGATGAGTGTAAGATAAAAAGCTTCAACAAAACTTCTTTTGTTCAGCAATACTCAAGTTCTGTCTTACAAAACTATTATTTAATTTACATTTCAAAAAGCAGCAGCACATTGAAACAGAACGGTACTTGCCGAGGATGAAGATAGAGTATTACTCAGTGTGATAATATGCTAAGTGTTGAGTTACCAGAACTGACCAGAGTGGGAAACAATATTCTGTGCATTACTCTATTAATGCTTCAAAAGTATTGCTATAGTCTTATTAATTTTTGGGGATGGTGCTTTTAATTGCTGCCTCATTACGTAGGCTGCAATCTTTTAACAAAAGACTGCCAAACAAAAGGAACATATAACATGAAGATGGAATTTTTAGAATAGTTCCTGAAATACAAGTTTTATAACTATCAGATTTCATATTTGAAATGGCATTCCAATACAACAATTAAAAACAAACAATGTGATTAAAAGAAAGGTAAACTACTTTTGCTGTTGAGTCTTGTTCCCACTTTAATATTGATCAGAAGCAAAATAAAAGTTCTGATTATCTTAATCAGTGAATTATTTTAATTGGAAACTGAAATTGCAAATTTACTGCTTGATAAATCTCTCATCCGTTAGTAGGTAAGGCCTTTTTATACATGCAAAGTCCAAGCAATGTGTTAAAAGTCAATGTAAAAAATACCACTCTCTATCAATACAAAGGAAAAGGAAAGATGGTTGTGATCAATTATTCCTTCACAAGACTGCTCTTATTTCTGGTGCAGCAATGAGATAATTAAACTGTGGATATTAACTGAGGAGAGCAAATATAAAATAAATCAGACTGTAAAACGCAGTTATTGACTGCATTGCAAATTGTACGGAAAGCTTAAAAGTGGGTGTCTATCACCTGTGCGGAGATGGTGAGTTTATCTAATCATGTGCTGAAAGGAAAGTGTCAATCTTTCCCACAGAAATTAAAAAGAAAAGGGCAAGTCACACCCACATAATGTCTTCCTGTTAACACAAACTCATTAGTTAGTCCTTCTCAAAGTGGGCCCTGAGGCAGCAATGGCCACCATGGAGCTCTGACCAAGTTATAGCAGCTCTACTACTATACTCCCACTCCAACAGTCCTTATTGAAAATATCCAAGCCTGGAAATGTGGTCACAGAGGGAAAGCAATCGAGAAGTACGTCATAACAGCAGACTGTACACTACAGTTGAAAATGTTTTGGGATCTTCAGAGACAAGATCCAAAATTAAAGTAACAATTCTATTACATTTAAATAAAGCTACCTATTTTCTTAAAGGACAGAAGAAACAATTCCAATAGCATGCAGAATAATTTAAAAGGCATAAATATTCTAATTATAAGCCAGCATTTAGTGAAATCCATCATCTCTTAAGGTTTTATTTTTACCTCTGAACTCTTTCCTAGTTGGTGCAGGACTTCTAGCTCCTTAGTGAAGCATGAGGATGATAGTGAAGAGGACGTTAGTCATTGTAAAGCATGCACAAGCTTATTGTTAATAGACAGTTTTAAATACTTAGTGTCACATTTTTGTCTACAGGCCACATAATTAAATAGAATATCTAAAAATCCTCAACTTATTGACCACACAAATTCCGAAGGCGAAATAACAAATTGGATAAAATTATTTACTTTAAAATTTGTAAGCTAGCTTTCTTCCCCTAAAAATTCTAAAAGATGTATCAAACCTTTCATTGTAAGTCATTTAAAAATTTGTAGCATCCACCTCAGCTGGTCAAGTCATCTTGATTCTTTTATATATACTGTGCCTAGACTAAGATTAGTGATTTGCTGCTTAAACACTCAATGTCCGTCTTTGTCACATATAGCTTTGACTACTCCAACATACTGAGTTGACTCCCACCTTTTACCCCTTAAATTTGTCATCTGAAACTGCTCAAGCTGCAATATAGTGTGAATGCTAGAAATCTGGAATAAAACAAAGTGCAGGAAAAGCTTATCAGATCTAGCAACATCTGTGAAGAGAGAGACAAAGTTAATATTGAATCTGAGGACTCCTCTTCTGCACCCAAAGTCGTCAATGTATCCAATATTAACTGTTTCTCTCTCCACAGATGCTGCCAGACCTGCTGAGATTTTCCAGCAATTTCTGATTTTGTTTCTGGTCACTCGTGTCTGTGGTCTGTTTGAAGTCGATCAGAGGCTTGGAGTGAATATAGACATGAGGCATGAGGCATGTGGCCTGTCCATCGATTATCGAGGGTATAAAAGGGGTCTGTAGGGGCAGCAGTTGGACTGCTGCCAAAAGGAGTCAGTCAGTCAGTCAGTCAAGCAGGTGGTTACAGTAGAGGCATTAGTGATGTTAGGAACACAGATGGTGATCAAGAATCTCTGGGTGTATTTGGGGAGGGGTAGAGATGTGGAACAGCACTGGAGGCCATGGAAAGCTATGACAGATCGTTATTGGAACTGACTACGACCGTGGCTTCCATAGAGGACAAAGGAGGGCGTCATTAAGGTGGAACATCAGGTCACAGGGAGGACAGTTGGAGGCGATTTCCAGCATTCGCAGATTCTTTTTTGGTTTATCAAAAGTCTCATCCTGTTATCAAATCCCTTCATGCCCTTGTGTTTTCCTGTGTATAATATCCTCCAGCCCATGATTCTTCTAGTTATCTGCAAACTTCAATTCTGGCTCTTGAAAATCAGATTTAAAATCAGTCCACCATTGGTATCTATGCCTTATAACTACTAAAGCCCAAAAGCACTGAAATACGCTCCCTGATGGTTTTCCTCTTTCTATTTCTCTCTTTTGGTCATTTGCGTCAATGTCTCACGTCACTCAGTATAATGGCTTATTGCCTTAAAATGCTCCTGGGAAACACCGAGACATTTTCATTACAGATGCTGTATAGATACTGGTTAGTGTTCTATCAGAGAAGTCTTCAAAAATTTTCAAATAGAAAATTACTCAAATTAATGTAGCATGCCAACAAGGTGATTAACAAGCAGGATAAGGAGATATATTTTGATTAATATGTAATCCATGTGTATCATAATCATTCTGGCAATATGATTAGCAGCAACATTTACAGCAGTATCATAACATCTAGAAACCCTAAGAAAACAGTGTTGCATTTGTGTGCAGCGCATCTATCACAATTGTGATATTATCTTTTGACTTTTTGTCAGTGATCCTATTTTCCATCATTACCAAACTGTACACATTTTAGAATATTTACAGTATGTATACACTGCAGAAATATAGGTGATCTAAATGAACTCTTACTCCTCATTCTATTTTTAAAAGCAGTGACGAACATTTTCTCTTAAATAGAAGGTGGAGGTATCCCATCAACAAATCTCAGAATGGCAAGATGGGCTTGCATTGCTTCCCCCACCCATTCAGTGTCACAGAATGACTGTAACACTCAATAAGAAAATAATTTCAACAGCAAGAGGTAAACCCCTTTCACAAGATTATTTTCATTTCACTACATAATCAGACACGCATGTTGACACTGAAAATAATGTTTTGGTTTCAAAAATCAAAAAGATTATCTTATTGATTTCGGTTTTCGAAGCTGCATGGCACATTAGGGCTGATCACTTGGTGATGTAAAGAAATAGAAGGATCATCTTTGTTTTTTTTTACAACTATGGAAAATATTACTAAATTTCTCATGTTTTTAGTTGCGGTGATTTCTATAGCCTGATCCTTCTATATTTTATATGTAGAAAGATTTTTTGTTTAGCAGATGTGTATGGATTATCTCCTTTGTTGCAGTTGTCAAAGATAGCAGCCAATACTTCAGAATTTCAGCACATTAACTGAATATTACATTTGTTTGAATCTAATTTATATTAAGAATTGATCTTTTATGTCATAGTAAATACAAATCCAGAGCTCCCGATATCCTGTTGTCACTTAAATCTGACAATCAGAATTGACTACTTACTGAAGTAGTACATGATTGATTTAGATGCATGACACACTTTGATGCTAAAAGATGCAGGCTTTACAAGTAGAATGGATTATTATATTTTCCCATCATTTTGGCTGTTCTTCCATATGCAAAAGCAGCTGCTCCCACTTACATATGCAATATGATTTTTGTTCACCACCATGCCCCATACCCACAAATAATTAGCAATATCTTAAGATTCAAGTACTTTAATTGTGTAACAGCACTCAAGTCTCAGAGTAAGATGATTGTACATCAAGCTGTACTACAGAGGTAGTCGCACAAGCCAGGCCGACATTCCAGCAGAATACTGAAGTGTTGCATTGTTGGAAGTACTATTTTTCAGATGAGACCTTACGTTGACTCCGTTTGATCTTTCAGGTAGGAGTAAAAGATCACATCCAACTAATTAAATAACAAATGAATTCTACTGCCTGCATTAGAACAATTACAATCTATTCAAACTATTTAATTGGCATCACAATGACTTTAAAGCCAGGAGACATGAAAGGTTATATGTAGGATTCTGAAGCAAAATTTGGCTACTTGACACAGGAAAGCTACTCCAATCTTGAAGGGTTAACTCAATCAATTTACAACCAGTGAACAAACTAATTTTAAAAAACTCCTTCCAGATCAGTATTCCAATATCCCCCTTCTGCTTATCCAGAATTTGTGCAAGTCGAAGCCACCGTGTGGCGAACCTAAAAACAATTAATATTTAATCTTCACTTTTCCAAATAACACACTTATTTGCCTTATTTTTCTCATTTCCATGCAAGTGGTATTACTGCAATGTATACACAGGACAGAAATGGGGATTTTTGATTACTTTTCAATATTTGTTACAAACAGAACACGTGATGCAAGATAATGAATACTCCACTGCAGTTGTAACAATTTAGGATCAGTAAAGCTAACTTGAGTGCATTTTACTCAAAGAGTATCACACTAGCATTCACAAAAGATCCACGTGCTACGCAGAACCTTGCGTACAAAATCCAAGACTATTCACAGGCCCATAACATTCTTTTGTTGTATTAGTAATTTTCTTTTCTGCAATGCTCAATTCAAATATTCCACTAAATTGTCTTACATCAAATTTACTTTGTTTAAGCTTCCAAATACTAAGGGATAAAGCTGTCATCTACCTGACGGAGGTGGTGGCCTTTGTGGTGGAGCAGGTCTTGAAGGAGGTACTGCAGGACGTGGAGGTGGTGGTCGCTTTGGTTCTAGGGTTTGACTACTTTCCTTGTGTGCTGATACTTGCTGGAACTCTGAAGCATCTGATTTCAAAAAGAAATTAAGATAACATGTCCAAACTTGTTGAAGAGAATGGCATAGCAGATAACGCAGTGAGTCAAATGGCACACTATAAATAATTAAGCCAATCACAGGAGACATCAATCAAATATGACTAAACTTTGTAGTATTGACATTCTTTGGTTTGTGTTTTAATTCATTCACAAGTTGTGGGCATCACTGGGTAGACCAGCATTTATTGCCTGCCCCTAATTTTCGAGCAGGCAGTTAGGAGTCCACACATTGTTGTGGGTCTAGAGTCACACATAGGCCAGACAGAGCAAGGACAACAGTTTTCTTCCCTGAAGGAAAGCAGTGAACCAGATAGGTTTTCTCTGACAGTTGACAACAGTTTTATGGTCATTAATTTTTTTTTTTTTTTTTAAATTAAATTCAAATTCCACCATCTGCCATGGCAGGATTCAAAGTCAGATCCCTAGAACACTACTTGCGTCTCTGGATTCAGTCTAGCGATAATATCTCTAAGACTACCACTTCTGATGCCTAAAATTTAGCAAATTGACTATACCATTAAAAATATTATTTTTACATTTGCTAAAGTAACTCAGACTGACCAAATTTTCTCATCGTACCATTACATTTCATTATTTTAAACAAGCTATTGGACAAAGAAGCAGAATTTTTTTCACTCTGAATCACTTATTACGTTTGAGCTTAATTTATCACTTTCTTGTGGGTGACCTATAAAAAGGTATTTGCATTTAAAATATAAATTAATCCAACTCAAGAAAGCCTTCAAATGGTTAGATGATGTACAAAGGCAGTCTTAAAAGTTTAAATCACTTTAGAAATGCAGAAATTGCAACAAAATTTGACAGAGGTAGGCTTGCCTGCATTCAACTAATGTTCTATATTTCTGAATTTATTGTTTATATTCATTGAAAACCATTACTCTGTTGTGGTTGCTCCTGTTGAACTGTAGCAGTTCTGGAAGCTGCTCTGCTTGGTCTGCTAGGCAGTGTTGGTAGAGGCATCTCTGGTATCGTGGGAGATGGACATGGACTTGTTCTCGGAGTTGAAGCAGGAGAGGTGCCTGAACCTGAACCAGAGACAGGCTGCAAATGCTGAGGAATTTCATCTACTTCAGCACTATAATCATCTACGTCCCCTGTATTAAAATAGTATGAGATACATATGAGAATTACAAATTTATAACAAATGCTTTTAACTATATACCTAACCTTATCCTTATTTCATTCAATGAGCTTGCATTATGAGCTTATCCTTCACGGCAAAATTACTTGATCTAAAATTACAGAAGTGAATGTTTTACAATGTTAATGAATGATAAGATTCTACAATTAAAGTCGCACAGCATACCCAAACAATATTCACCAGTCAAGTAACATTTAAAAACACAAAATGTTGGAAATCACAACCGGGTCAGGCAACTTCCATGGTCAGAAAGCAAGCTAACATTGAGTCTAGATGACTCTTCATCAGTTTGCTTTCTCTCCATGGATGCTGCCTGATCCCCTGTGATCTCCAGCATTTCTTATTTTCATTAGAGTTGAACGTCTGCACTAATTTGCTCCTTCATTTTAAAACAGATTCACTTATAAATTACATTAGAAGTATTAGTTGCATGTACTGCCAGCAATTTATTATTGTGCCCAAATAAATCATTTGACAGATATGAATGGATTTAATCACAGTCAAAACATTTTTGCTGCAAGCAGATACTGCAGGATTTGCAATATATACTAATTCGATGCTCTATAGCATACCTTCCATATCATAGTCAGCAGTAACTTCTGTATCTTCTCCAAGCAGTGTGGAGCTAGTCGAGACTGGTAAACCAAGACCACTTCTTTCCAGACTCATCTCTTCCTCTAATTTACTGGTCCAATCTGGATTCTTCAGGCAAATGTGGAGCGTCCTGCCCAAAACCTGCAATGACATTTTATCCCCCCACCCCACGCAAAATCATTCAATCAAGACATTTTTCAGTAATTTTGCAAAGGACCATCAACTAGTCACTTCAATCTGTCAGTACTCAGGCAAGATTCACTTGATTATTGAATTCACTATTCTTCTGGGACTACATGAAAGTCCGGTGTTTATATAGAAATCCCTTTATAGAGGTGTTTTTCCTAAGTCTTTAGTACTCTTTCCTTGTCATAAACTCCTCTGCTTCTGTATTTTTATTTCTGCTGTTCTCCCCCTGCATCAAGTTCTGCATTCGTCGCTTGCATTCTCTCCATGTCCACTTGTCTCCCACTGAACTTTGTCATTTCTCCTGTGGCTTTCCAGTTACTGCAAACAACTCATGTATTTTCTTACAAAACATCCATCAACAGAGATTTGAAAAGAAACTTATTCTGAGGAGAAGCACTAACAGGCTCCTCTAAACCCTGCACAGGTAGTCAGTCAGTGGACTTCACTCACTCTACCTGACAGTATGGTCCAGAAAGAGAAGGTCTTGTGGTCTGGAAATGGACCAGATGTTTAAACTTCATCACTAAAATTCCAAAAATCTAATACTAAAGTCTAAACAATTATCACGGTTGACTGCAACATTTTTCAACTGGTTTACATAAAATAGAACAGGCATTCAAGTGCAAGAAGAGATTTGAAACTTCAAATCAAGGTCCAGAATTTTACAGGTAATTTCAGAAATGATAGGTTTAGTACTCATATTCCGTGAATTATTTGCATCAAATTGTAAGTAGATTCAGATTTTTCTTATTTCTTCTCTCATTTTCTATAAAACATTCATACTACATAGTGTCAACTTGAATGGTGAATGGTGAATGATTTATTTATTGTCACTTGCATTTTAGTGAATAATACAGTAAAATACAGTGAAAAGCTTCAACAGTCACAAACTATCCAAAATGGCACTGGATTTTGAAGAGTGGAAAGGATATAAGATATAACAGAGTTCAGAGCTGGCCCACCAACGACACCTGCGCTGCATAATGGGATCTGAAGTCAAAACTTTCCAACTTATGGACAGGAGTCACTGAACCAAGGCTAACACCTAAAAGGCCTTCAACAATTTTGATGCAATAGCAAGGTTTGGAACCAGGAAGCTTACAGAAACCACCACAGACTGAGACCTCAGGGACCACATCTCCTGCACCTCCATTCAAAAACTAGTTCAGTGAAGAATGTAAGGTAAGCATCCTGAGAGCTGTATTAAGCACATGAGAAAACCAGACAAAGTTGCAACTGAGGCTACGTAAATGCCAAACAACAAATTCAGTATGTGATAAATTAGAAAAAAGTGAACCCACAACTAACAGGTCTGGTGAAAGTCTTGGTAAGCAGGCTAGTGGGGAGTGACTGGGCTGAATCTCATGATTTTTTTTTAAGCTAAGTGCATGTTGTGTCAATTTTGAGGGATACTCGCTGTGAATTCCAGTGAGCTTTCTCACCTTCGCACTATCTACTTCATCCCAGGGCATCCATCACGTCTACTTTCTAGTCCTATTTAACCATGTACCATTCCCAGAACAATGCACCACTCAGTGGATAGCCATGAGAAGACCAGCATTTCTTGCACTGACACCATCTTTAAAAGGCTGTGGTCCTCAAGCACTAGCAAACTGCCATGGTTCCTCCTTGGTGACGTAATTGTACAACAGCCACAAAAGCACACTGGTCATAAGACATAGCCAGCATGACACTTACTTGCACATGCAACCCCATTCTCTCACCATACCAC